CCGGGGCGCTCCCCCGCGCCCGCCGGGAGTACGTGCGCTGGCGGAAAGGCGACCTTTCCCCCTCGACCTTTCCCTGGGGGTAACCAAAGCTCCCTTTTATTTTCAATGTCACTTCGGAGTTTGCCTTTTGTTCCCCGCTACCTCTCGCTTCCAGGGATACGGGCGGCTCCCCGCTGGCTCGGGGAGGGGCGAGCGGTTGCAAAGATAGCTCATTTAAAAACGACAATGGAGCCCTTTCGACCAGCCCGGGTGGTGCCCGAGCTTTATTTTCGGGTTGGGGGGAAGGGAATTGTTTGCTTTGCTTTTGTTTTCACAGCAAAACTCGAGGGGAAGTTACAGGAGGGCTGCGAGGAGCCCCGGCCCTTCTTCATTGCCCCAAGGTACCGGGCAGGGCCACCCGGCCGAAGGCCGGCTCATCTGCCGGCATGCCCACGGCACCCGGGGCACCCGCGCAAACTCTGCGGCTCCAGGAGGATCTGTCCGCAGCTGCCCTGCTGTCACTGAGTTCGGAGTGACAGAGAATGCTCCGGGCATTGCCCCCAAATCCTTCTCTGCCGCACCTCTGCTCCCCAGCCTACGGCGTGGTCTGAGTTTCCCCTGGGGCTTTAATTCGGAAGGAAGCTGCCCGCTGCCTCGTGGTGCCCTTGCCTTTTTTTTTTTTTTGGTTTGTTTTCCTTGGTAAGGGCAATCACTGCAAGGTGGGACGCTGCGTTTGCGCTCCGGCGGCTCCAGCTGCCCGCCGTGCCCGGAGGAGGGACGCGTCGGGGCCAGACCCCCGAGGCGACCCACAGCAGCCTCCGCTGGTCACCGGGGGAAGTGCAGCGCCGGGCCCGAGCAGCGGGGCTGGAGGTTCCCCGGCCCTGCCGACCTGCTGCTGCCGCTGTTGAAATTTTGCCCTAATCAGGACAAAAACAAATACATGAGGAAACGGAATGGGATTTTGCTCAGTCGTCCTCGTAGGAGATCGATGTAATTACGTGGATATCCGTCCCTTTTCACTTGCTCCAGATCTAGAGGGAAGGATTACCTTCTTTTAATGTTGCTACAGCTCCTCCTCAACACCCTCCCATAGATGTAGCTCAGCCTCTGAGCAGTATTCTTCTCCCTCTGTCGGAAAGTACCTGCGATTCGCCTGTTCTTGGATCAAGAGGAGCTATTTAATAATTTGAGCCAGCTCCAAGCGTACACTTTTGAGCAGCACAGTCAAACAGTTTGAAATTGTGCTCTTGACAGTTCATGGTCACATAGACAAAAGATTCTTACTCAAAACCTGTCTGTTGGGAGTGACTCTGCCTCTTCCCCATCTGCTTCCCACTCCCTGAGCCTGCAGGCTGTGAGTTCATCCCGAGAGGGCTGAGCTCAGTCCCTGCTCTGCAGGGGCAGCCTGGTTGCCCTGTGATCTTCTCTGAGTGTAGGGAGTGAATCTGCTGTGCCATTGGGGCATTAAGTCTTCAGAGGTAGAGCTGAGACGTCAGTGAGCAGAGGCCTGGTAGGACCAGACTGACTCAACTGCCCACTGTGAGTGGCAGATGCATTTGCTTATTTCTCACGTGAGCCTTAAAATCAGTATTACCCCTGAGTCTTCAAAAACAAAAAATCACAATTCACTCTGCCTTGATTTTCTTCTGTTCCATTCCTGGGAGAGAGCACACAGAGGTTTCCTAGGCAAAGAGGACCATTTCAGAAGCCCAAGGGCAATTCTAGGGATGTTTCAGAAGTCTCCTTTTCACTTCATGGGAACCGGAGCCTCTGGGAAGATCATGCCCTCAGTCTGGCTAGTACAACTGGTAGGTCTAGTTAAAAGCTGACGTAAAAAGCTGCAGCACAAAGGAA